AAAAGAAACTCCTATAACGAATAATTTGAACTTCTATCAGTTGCAAAATAGTTGTTTTAAGATTTATATAATTTTATTTGTACAGACATAAAGTGTTGTTGTTGGTGTATCCATGATGTGCAGATTGATAAAAATAAGAATCTTTAAATCGCTTCTAAGCTGTCTTCAACAGCTTCAGCAACCTCAACAGCTTTATCAGAAAAGATCAAATCATCTTGGTCTTTTGAGCTGATCTTGAAAATCCTGGTTTGAGTTGCTGGGCAGCTGAGGATATGTTGTGGAGACAGTTGAACATTAGGGCAGTTTGGGCAATGATTTGTGTAACTTCTTTGTCCGTCAGTTGAAATTTTCATTCCTTTTACATGCTTCATTCTAAGTTATTATTGGTGCTATTGTATGGTTACTATTTAGAGCTGGGATGGAATATTTAAAATTAGTGTTGATTAGTCTTCAGCTGGCAACTGCATTTTCATTGATGAGGGTCGTGATGTTAGATGATTGTGGGCAAACTCTGGGTTCTTTGGCAAGTTCATTGACTTTCTCATTACCTAGAATATTTACGTGGGCTGATATCCATTGTAGTGAGCGTGGAGTATTAAAGTAAAAAAAATATTTGAAAATGTGTTTCTAGTTTTAACTAATTAATTAAAAGAATTGTATCATTGAAGAATAAAAAATTTTATAATTATATGTTAACTATTTTAAAGTATATAATGTGCTTTGAGTGTGTCAGATTTTATTTTCCTCTAAGTTTAAAAAACTTTTAAAGTAATTATGACTTTAATAATTTTAAACTAGGTCATGTTATATGTAGTTTTGATTACGTATATTTATAATACATCACTTAGGCTGTTTTGCATTATGTAGTTTAGAAAGATATTTCAAAATGTTTCAAGTCAAGTTAACCCTATGTTCAAATTCATATTCTGTAAAGCTATGTAAAAATATCTGTAAAATTAAAAATTACTTAAATAAGTAGCTGAAAAAGTTGTATTTTTTTAAAAACAAAACCATGTTAAGATTATAAAATTTTACTTGTTAGATGTTTTAATATTTAGGCATATTTTGTTGAAGCATAAGATTTTTAAACATTTGTTACATATTTTCTTTTCAGAATAAAAAGTAAATTAAAGAAAAATTCTACAAATTTTTAAGAATTATCCTGAATATATTTGTATTTTTATTTGTGAGTACAAAGAATAAAGCTATTTATAGCAAGAAAATGTAGATTCTATGTAATTAAATTGGTTCTCTCATTATTTTTCATTATATGTGTAATTTATTTTTTAAGAATTTTAGTCACTAACTTACTATATGTTTGAAATCTTAATTTCTTGTGTTAGTCTACAATCTTGGAAATTATCCAGCTTATTTTATATTATGAAGTCTTATAGTATATAGTTGAAAAATACACTGTTTATTATTTAAATTTCTACATATAGCATCAGAGAATCTTAATGATATTAAAGGGGAAAGACTTATCCTATTACATTGTCATAAAAGTAGCATACTTCATTTTCCTTCCTCAGAGGCTCGACAGCGCAGGGTGGGTCTTGGCCTACTCAAGAAGACTTTTCCAGGCCAGCCTTCTTCCTGCTAGTGTTCTCCAATTCTTATTTCTCAAAACTAGGAGATCTTTTTCTAGGCCATTAATCCATCTAAGGTTTGGCCTGTGTCCTTTCTTCGTGTGCCAATTGGTTAAGCACTGAGGTTTTTTAGTGGTGTGGTCTTCGTTCATTCTGACAACATGACCTACCCATTTAATTCGTTGTATTTTGATAAAGTTAACAATGTCAGATTCATTATATGATTGATAGAATACTTCATTTTACAAATATGAAAACATGTTGAAGTGTTAGGTTTAAAAAGTTTTGAAGTTTATTTAAAATATTTATTTTATAAGCATGTTAGATACAGAAAAAAGGGGGGTTATTTTGTTCATAATAAACATTCTATTTTCTGTAACATAGCATATGTTTATTTTAGACTGTAATGTTATATTACACTTTTATATTTATTTGAAATTTACTTCCTGATGATAAATTTAGACAGGATAAATTTTGAAATTGTATTGTTATAATAACTTGAAATAAAACAACTGAAAAGCATGTATATATTTATACAGTGTTGTTTTTTTTAACAAAAACTGAAATCTTAGCTGAAGTATTGCCTGTGTTGATTTTTTTTAAGATTTAATATGAATCTATGTTTTTATAACTTTACAAATATAATATTTGAATATAACTTAACTCAGTGGCGCAACATCCTATGAGGGCGAAGCCGTACTGTGTCCTTCTTGGTATAGGTGACCTTGGCCCCTGAGGTGCATGAGCAGATGTTCTGGCCAGGTGGGCAGTCCGATGCTAAACCCTCAGTGTTGAGTTCCCAAGCAAACTTTGTACTTATTTATCGACCCATTGAAGGGATGAAAGGCTGAGTCAACCTTGCCCAGCCCGTGGTTTGAATCTGGGCCCTGTGGTGTGGAAGCACAATACACTAACCACTCAGCCACTGGGCTTAATATTTGAATGTATTTGGTGATTATTATTCACTTGAAACTTAATCTAATTCTGAGGATTATTTCACAAACATGTTTGAAATCAAATTTCAAATAGATGAGATAATAGTATTATAATTTCTACCAAAGGAAGTGTGTTTTTTAAAACTTTTTGTTTATGTGTAAAAGAAAGAAGTGTTCGTTTTATGTATTAAAGAATAGATGTATTTTTAGTACATTAAGATTATTAAATTTTAAAATATAATTTAATATTCTGTTTTGGCCCTGTTTTGATGCTGTAAATTTAAAATTTAATTTATTCATAGTTTTATTTATAGAGGCACATTTGTAAGTAAGGACTATAAATCATGTTTTTGATTCCATAAATAATTGTTGTTTAAAATAGTGTAAAATGTTGAATATAGTTAACTGAAAGTGACTTTGAAATCTTGTTTTTTTTATAAGATGAAAGAAATTTTTGCTCAGAAGTTTTATGGTGATTTAAAATTATGAAAGTTTATGATTTAACTCTAAAGTAACATCAGTTTAACAACAGAGTTTTCAAATTGGGAAATAAATGGTATGGAATTATAGTTGTATAACCTGTTTTTTTTTTATGGTTGCAGAAATCTGACACATTTTTTCTCTTCTAAAAAACTGTATTAAGTATTTTAAACTTTCTTATTATCTTTTTTAAATAAACACTTATTACAAATTTTCAATATGTAAAATTTGAATTCTCTACTATATAACAGTAATATTTATATCTAAGAGTTAAACTCAATTATATTTCTATTAATACTTAAGTAATAAATACTGATATTTTTTTTAAAACAGCTAATAAGCCCTTTTTGCAAGAGAGATCTCCTAAAACTCAAAAGGCAAAAAATCAGGAAGGGCTTGGAATTGAAATAGATATGGTAAATATATTGCTAAATCTTATATTTTTCTTAATATGACTCTTGTATTTATTATTTACAAATTTGTGTACTGTTTTATTTACATTAAAATTTTTATGCAAATTATTATTTTTTTAGAGCAACATAAAATCAGATGGTCTTATGTGAATCTAATGTTATTTTTTTTAAACTTCCAAAACCTACCTTTGGGATTTATAATTGTTTTAGATATAACTAATTCTGTAAAACTTCTATGTTTTGTTATTGAAATCACCTATCTATTCAAATATCAAAAGCTAAATTTACCATTAAGATTGAATGGTGTTCGAGAAAATCCTTATTCCATGATGTGGTTTTGCAATGTTTACATCAAACGATGTATTTCAATTCATTGAGTCTTCTATCAGAAAAGTGATCAATAATGTCTGTGTGAAGAGGAAAAAAAAATTGAATTTGAACTCATTAAAGCAGCTTTTATTATTATCATATGCTCTTGAGCAAAGACATAAAAACTGAATTTAATTTTAAATTAATTTCAATTTAATTTTTTCAATAGAGCCCATGTTACACCTCAATATCCAATTTTTCAATCTTAGGAGTATCAATGTATGTAGACATGTATTTCAGGTTAGATGTAAAAAATAATTCATAAATATAAGATAAATTAATGTAATATATTATAGAGCAGCATTCAAGATATTCAAGGTCCACAAAATCAATAAAAAAAAAACTTTTTCATCCTCAGATTCAAATAAGCAGATAAAATAAATGCAAATTAAGCCATGTGGCAATTAAATTTATTTACATACATAAACAACAACAAATTACTGAAACGTGTTGAATAATCTTAAATTCAGTTCACAGTCAAATAGTAATTATTCTTGTTTTTTACTTTGTTGACCTTTATGAATAATTGCTGAATAGTTTAAAATTGTTTTTAATTCTGTGTCCAATTACTTCTCTATTGAAATATGATGAGGTGATATTATATTCTCTCTCGTAATATTTAAACGAAGACTAACTTTTAATGGTTAAGGAGATTATAAGGTTATATTTTATGTGCTGAACATACAATGTTTATTTACAGGTAATCTAAGACATTAATTAGTAAAATATTTTTTGATTATGTGTAAAAGCACAACAAATTGCAAAAAGTAATTAAAACCAATTATAAATATGCATAACTTTAAAATGTGGTACACAAGTAAAGTAACTCTAGTGTTACCATTGGAATATTTTTGAGGTATTTTCATTTGGAGATTGAAGAATATGGTTATCTTATTTAAAGGTAATTGAAGCATTTTAAAGTGATGAAATTTCGCTTATTAACCTTACATACAAAGTAAACTGTTTCATTCACAATAATCTTAATGTGTTGAGTGTTGCTTTATTTCTAAAATATAGAAATAGTTCATCTCTCAAGAAATTTTGCGGAAAATACAAGTACGAAATTTGAATAAAGGTAGTAGAATATTCAATATGTGCCAATATAGGGATTGTATTTAGAGTTTTAATAATGGTACACCAATCAGATTGATATTGTTAAAGGCAAAAAAAGAAAAAGAAAAGAAATATTAAATGACTGTTAAGTAATAGGAAAGGTTGCCTTTGAATTGAAATACCAATATAGTGGTTAGTAACACTGACTGCAGTGCAGTAGGGCCTGGGTTTGAATCCCAGAGAAGGCATGGCTGTTTGTATTGTAATCCTTCATGACTTTAAATCCCTTCTTTCCTTTGTTATGTGTGCTTCATGCTTACTTCTGTATGTCCCCATGGGATACTTTGTGGTATGCATTGCCTTTAAAATGTAATGCAATGCTTCAAGTTGAAAAGAGTTTTAATATTTGCTTTATGCTGAAAGATGCGAAATTTCTCAAGCTTTATTCTTGTAACTCTTTTTTTAAGTAACTTGACCTTTATTCATGCAGTTGGTTTTTATAATTAAAATAAAAATATTAATTGTGCTTTGAATCATCATATTTTAGACTTTATATTGAATTTTCTGTTAAACAGTACTTTTTTTAAAAAACTTCTTCAGGTATCAATAATGGAGTTGAAATTTATTTTTCCCTGGGTCTCAAATGCACAGTATGTATATCTATTTGAGAAGGGGGGATGTACAGGCAAAAAAACTTAATTAACTTATTTAACCTATTTAAAACTAATAAAATGTTTAAAGAATTCTAGAGAAATATGTTTGTACAAAATAGGGGCATCGGTTTACTAAAAATTTGCAGTTCATTTATCTAAAATAAATGCACTAGTTACTTACATGGAAATACAATCACCAAAAGAAATAATAAACATTTTCATGTATTAATAATGCACCTACTCGGTTTGCTGAGGCTTAGAAATCAATTCATGGCTCAGAAGTATATTTTCCATTGTTATGCCCCTTACAAAAGAAACACCATATTTTTTCCCTCTTTTAACACTAATCTTGCTCATTTGCTTATTTCAAGCTCTTTGGATGGATATTTGTTGGGATAAGTATGTAGTATGTGAGCTAGATTGCTACATTGACTACTAGATTGCTTGTGATAGCTCTAGTACATTATATATCATGATTTCTTGTTTATTAAATAATAAATTTATGCAAAAAATTTGAGATTCAAATAAATGTAAAAACCATTTTACATAAAAAATATTTTCATTGCTATATTTTGGTCTGTGTTGTATTTTTTATATATATTCAATCTTTGTAACATGTTTCGTTATCATGTCATCTTTATTTGCAGATCGATTAATATCTTTTATAATGTCTCTTTAAGTATGTCTGATGTAATTAATAGTTCCTTTATATTTTAAATTCAATTTTGTGTTCATTTCATGATTTCGTAATTTATTTTTCTTTTGAGGACTCGAAGAAAAAACGGAGCCCAAGATTAGCTGCTTCCAGTAAGTGTATATGAGATTATATATTTGCATTGAAATGTCATTCCATTCTCACAATTATGCACTAGCTGAAGTATCCATTCTTTGCATGGATCAAATTTTCTTTAAAAAAATTAATCTCTACTATTGTAAGCAAGCATAATACTTTTTAAGGAGGGTTAAACTTAGTGCAAGGTAGTGTTTTCAAAAATTAAACAAAATTTTTTGAATGTGTTCATATTATAAATTTTAAATGAACTGCAGTTTGGCCTTACACACGCACAGTAACAAGGGATTTAACTAAAACATATATTTGAATTCACACACAAAAGAGAAAATTAACATGCTAAAAAGATAAATAAAAATGAATGAATGAATGAAAATATTAATAAAAATTATAATGGGAAAAGTAACAGTAGTAGAAAGTTTGCTCTGCTGAAACAACTTGAAACAGGTAAGTCCAATGAAAATAATTCACTTAAATATCATATAAAGTATATAATATATAGAATAATATTATATCATTTCACAAAATACTGTTATAAGTAGCATATATTAGGCAGCCTTCAATGGAAAAAGAAATTAAATTAGTTTAAGAAGAAAATGAAAAAAAATTTCTAAAATAGATCTATGTTGAATTTAACTATGATCAAACTGGGAAAAAAATGCACAACAACATACATGTGATGACATCTATCTGGAGAAGACTTTTGTTGTGATTTTGAATGCAATTACGCCATTTTGGCCACTTGATATTGTAATTAGTAAATATTGTTTTTTTTAATGTGTACATGTATTTTTTAAGTACTATATTCACTTCTAAATCTACACCAATTTATTTATAGACAGACTAATAAGGAACGAGCATGCTCAGGAATTTGTTTCTGCACATGTGCGAAAGTGATGACTGCATTTCATGAAGTTTTTTAATTTAGCAATGTTTTTATATTTATAGGGAAATTGGTCAATAGTATAATATGTAAGTTCCAAAATATGTATGCAATACATGTGTATATGTTCTAAAAAAAGACATAAGGAACATTTTGTGTGTGTGTGTCAGAAGCAAAGTTAGACCGTGAGGCATGTGAGGAAAATTCTGATTAATATTTTTTAATGGAAAGAAATGTCATATCAACAGCTTTTTTGACCAAATGGTCATGTTATGCAAATGTAAATAGGTAAGATTTGCTACTGAAGTGTTCTGATGTTGCTGTGATGATTTAGTTTTTAAGCTTTACTTGCTATTGGGCCGACAAAATTCTGTGTTGTGATATCAACATCAAAGGGATTGTAGCATAGGAAAAGTTGTAGATTGATTATATCTCTAATGTTCAGGTTGGCAATAACTCGGAAAAGCAACTGCCAAAACCCAAGACCCTTAGAACTGAGAAGTACCCTAATATGTACAAAATTTTTGCGCTGTTGACTTTTGAAATATAAACAATGTGAGTAAAGCAAAATTTATTGGATACAGACCAAGGGTTTGAAGAAGGACCTTAGACTTAGTTGGTGCGCACATAGCAAAGTAAAGATGAATTATGAATAGTTTAAACTAAAATAGAACATCTGATGGAACGATGGAAATCTTCAGGATGAAAGTATTTTTAAAAGTGGTCTATACATTATAGCTTCAATAACATAAGGCCTTGCAATATGTGTAGTTGTTCTGTTATGCAATCATTATGCTCTATTGTAAACCATAAAAACATGCAAAAAATAAATGAAGGTAAATCAAATTAAAAACAGTCTTAGACTGAAAAAAATTCATCAACTTAAATCAAAAAGCTATTTAACCCTTTATCTACCACATTATAATTTGCTGCAATTTTTTTTCATGCAATAATTTTTTTTGAATCACTGCATTGAAAATTAAGGGATATACATAAACAAATTACTCAACTTTGGGAAATTTAATTTGTTAGAGCTAATTAATTAATTAAAGATATTCAACTGTAAAATTAATTATACACATTGTTCACTTAAAATAAATAGTCAAATAGTTTTGTAAGGTCTTCATTAACATACAAAAAAAATAATAAGACACTTGCCTTTTGACACTATTTTTTCGGAACAAAAATGACAATCTTCGCAATCTGCTGAAAACGCAATTTCTGCTATAAAACTATTCTCCTTCCTCGCTAAAATACTCATCACAGAACCCATGCTACCATATATCTTGGAAGAGTGGATTTAAAAGAATATTCTTGTCAAGTATCATCAGAGTATTTGCAAAAATGGTTATTCTATGTAATTTTTAAGTGAGTGGTACTTATAAGTACCATTGGTATATAAAGGGTAAAAAAAGAGAAAATATATGCTCAGATTTAATGAAACTATTGCAAACAGTTTCAAACACACAATTTATATACTTGCTAAAAAAAATCTTGAGCCGAAAAAAAATTATGAGTGATGTATAACATCTGAACAATCAACATGCAATACTGAATGTCGCAATTATACACTAATAAAGTGTAATTCATAAAATTAACAAATATGAAGCAGCCTTAGTTTGAAAAAGGAAGCTATAATGTTAGGATTAGTGAAAGTTAAGCTTTCTGAAAGAGATGAATTCAATCATTTTGGCTTTGAATTACTGAAAAATATAAAAATATGCTTTAGAGAAACACTGTACATCATAATATATAGAAATACCTGTGTTACCTGTAGGGGTTGGACACCTGTGTTGCCTAACTAAAAGTGATGCTTTTGATGTAATACTCTTTACGCTTTATTTGAGAAAAAAATTGCTACAAAGTTAATAAATAAATGTAAATAAAACATTTAAAATAAAAACATGTAACAATCTTTGGAAATGTGTACAAAGCATAAATTTTCGCATTCAGAGATAGATGTAACTTCACATCAAATTACCAATTGGAAAGAAATCACTCAAAAAATGGATTTAAAAAATATATATATAACTAATTTTAAAAATTCTCTTTTAGATGCACTGCATCATGACCTATTGTTTAAAAGTATTAAATTTCACCTTGTTCTGTGACTCTGCTTTTGTACTGTTTTGCAGACACACAAATAAACTGTCTTTTATTAGTATAATTTGTAAGATTCTGAATTAATAAACTATATAGAATAAAGCTCTAAAAAAATTATTACTGTATTTTTTTTTTGGAAAAAATGTGCAAGGCTTTTAAATATTTTACATTTCTAGCTTATACATAAAGGTCAGGCTCTTGCTTTTATTATATATATATCACCATTTTTTTTCAATATAATATATAATAGTGTTTAAATGTTTATAATGCAGTAATGCAGCTGGTCATTATAACATTTGGAGTACAGTAACCATGAGAATATTCAGTCTAGTCCTAAATTTGCCTCCTACCAAACCATGGTTTAATGGCTAGATGGCTTAAGGTACAAAATTCGATTCTATCAAAAATATCTTAAAGGAAGGGGAATATTATAAATGAGTTCTATTTTTTAATAAAACTACTAAACCTCTCATCATGTAAATAGGAAAATGTAAATAATCTCATGTAAATAATTAGGTTTTACCCTCATCATCTCATTGGTTTCAATAATAACATGCCATAGCCTATATATATTTTGTAACTCTGGTACAGTATTAATTATTCACAATTATAGCAAAACAAAATGCATTGGTAGAATTGCTTATCATTTGTTTTGAAACTTTTAAGAAATTGATTTCTCTGATACAGTATTAGGATTAATTGTATTAAAATATAATATGTGTATATAGAAATCTTCACTGAAAAACTGCTCACCGAATGATCATATTGTACTTTTAAAAACTAAAAATTAAATTTGATTACTTTAACTATACCAAGGAT